AATTTAAACATAAATCTGTAATGAAGCGTATACGTAACTTCACCAGGATTGAAGCGGAGGAACTTGAGAGGGACATTCTGTCAATTAATTGGGATTGTGTTACTGAAGCCGCGACAGTTAACGAGAAACTTTCCTATTTCAATGCTTGTATCCTTAAGATTTACCAGAAACATGCGCCCTTACACAGCATTAAATTAAAAAAACCACCTGCACCCTGGATTACGACAGGTGTTCGCATAGCAATGAGGAAACGAAATCAGGCATTCAGTAAATTTAAAAGGGTTCGTACTGATGAGAACTGGATTTCATTTAAGACGGCTCGTAATCGGTGTAATTATATGGTAAGAGCAGCTAAACGCCGTTACATTCATTCAAATTTGTTAAATGCTTCACCGGCCAATACTTGGAAGTTCCTAAAAACACTGGGTTTGTGCAAACAGTCCAGTGATGTCACTTTACCATTCTCACTAAATGACCTTAACAGGCATTTCTCTTCCTCCGTCCCGCTTAATGCGTCTATCAAGAGAGCAACTTTAGATAAAATTGCTTCCTGGCCTAAGTTTTCCACAAATCCATTTTCATTCTCTTCAGTGACCGCCGAGGAGATCCGCAAAATTATATCTTCTTTAAAATCCAACTGCGTTGGTACTGATGATGTGAGTAGAGTCATGATTACTCTCATACTTAACCACGTACTGCCTCTAATCACTCACATTGTCAACTGTTCGCTACTTTCTGGTTCGTTTCCTTCAGAATGGTTAAAGGCTTTTGTTCTACCGCTTCCTAAAGTGTCATCTCCAAACAATTTGAAAGATTATAGGCCCATCTCTATTCTGCCCTATCTCTCCAAAATCCTGGAAGCTGTGGCTCACAAACAGCTCTCAAATTTCATTTTTCACAATAAACTTGTGAGCCCCTTTCAGTCTGGGTTCCGTACGGGACATAGTACTAATACGGCACTTCTAAAAGTAACTGAGGATGTGAGAGATGGCATGGAGAACTCCAAAATTACCATTCTTGTCTTAATTGATTTCTCTAATGCTTTTAATTCAGTCGATCATGATATCCTTCTTGCTATGCTCTCTCATCTTGGGATCTCCTCTGTGGCCTTAAATTGGTTCCAGTCTTACATTCGAGGTCGTCAGCAGGCCGTTCGCATCGACCAGACTATATCTGATTGGTGTGAATTGCCGGCTGGTGTTCCTCAAGGCGGTATTCTATCTCCTTTGCTTTTTTCTATTTTCATTAATTTCATCACTAATAACCTCGACTGCTCTTACCATCTCTATGCCGATGACTTGCAGCTCTACTGCCAGGCTGAGGTCGAAAAAATCTCTGAAGCCGTAAATATGATGAATGAATCACTTGACTACATTTTCGACTGGTCGGTCCGGTTCGGGGTCAATGTCAATCCCAGCAAATGCCAAGCGATTATACTGGGTGGCTCGAGGCAACTTGGCAAAATTAACATGAGTACGGTTCCTCCAGTGCTATTTAATGGAATGGCTATATCATATTCTCCGCATGTTAAAGATCTTGGTGTAACAATTGACAGTACTCTCAGCTGGACCAATCACGTTGATGAGGTGAGCCGTAAAGTTACCTACACATTGCGTAATTTATACCGTTTTAAAAATTTCCTACCTAGCAGTACTAAAACCTTACTAATTCAATCCCTCGTGCTCCCCATTATTGATTATGCTGATGTGTGCTGCTCTGACATGAATGAGGACCTCTTAAATAAATTGGATCGTCTTCTTAATAATGCTATTCGTTTCATTTTCGGTCTTCGCAAGTACGACCATATCTCTCTTTATCGTTCTAAGCTTAAATGGCTTCCGATCCGCCAACGCAGAATTGTTCGCCTCTTGTGTACATTGTATTCAGTCCTATACGATCCAAACACTCCTGAGTATCTTAAGACCAAATTTCTTTTTCATGGGGACATCTCTCACCGTAATCTTCGTCCGTCTAGGAATCTACTCTTGCACGTTCCTGCTCATCGTACGAGCTTCGTCTCTAAATCTTTCATGCTTCAGGCTATTAAACACTGGAATGCTTTGCCCCTTGACATTAAATCGAGTACTACCAAATTTACCTTCAAATCCAAGTTAAGAAAACATCTTTCCAACGACTTTTGTAATTAAATGAATACATTAATATAGTGTTAATTTATCTCCCGCTTTCACTCTTGATTTGTCATGATTGATTATATCTCATTGTTGATTTGTATTTGGTATATATGTATAAATTTTATATGTATTTTATTATGTACTTGAATGTATATGTATATATATATATATATAATATATTTATATTTATATATTCTTATTTAAGTATGTATGTAGTTGGATATATATATTTCAATTTATGAATTTTATTATAATTGTACCTTTCTCCTTTTATTATTTATTTCATGTTATTATTTACTTAAATGCACCGCCCACTAATCTCTGTTTGCCCTATGGTCGACTGGGAGGAAATGCCTTATGGTGTTAAGTCCGCCATATGCCCCTTTATTTTGTTTTATATTTGTGCATGAAGTTTTTATAAATAAATAAATAAATAAAAATAACTTACAATGCTAATCTTAAATAGCTAAATTAATAGTATATATCCCCTTTTAACTAACTTACTCTATTGGATAGGTAAGGGACAAACCTTTACTACGAGACGTTTAAGAATATTGCCGCTTGCCGTTTTTACTGAAACCACTCTAATAACATTGTCACGACCCGGGTGAACTTGTACTATTTTAGCTAATTTCCACGACAAGGGTGGCAGGTTAGAATCCATCAAGATAACTGGATCGTTAATTTTAATATTATCTTTAGTTTTTAACCATTTATTTCTCTGTTGGAGAGTGTGAATGTAATCAATCTGCCAAATCCGCCAAAACATTTGTGTAATTTTCTGTAACATTAGCCAACGAGAACGCAGGTTGGAAGTATTATCCTCTAGAGGAATCTCAGGCAAACCTGAGAGGACCAAATGAGAGGACCTCCAACTAAAAAATGGCCTGGTGTCAGTACATCAACCTCATTAGGGTCCGAGGAAAGTGCACAAAGAGGTCTCGAATTTAAAACAGCTTCAATTTTGGTAACTACAGTAAACATTTCCTCCAATGTCAAGACCTGTGCGCCCACTACACGCTTCAAGTGGTATTTTGTGGATTTTATTCCACTGTCGAATATACCCCCGAAGTGCGGTGCGCCGGGGGGATTAAACTCCCAGCGAATACGTCTGACGGCGAGTCCATCAGAAATATCACGACGATTTTCGTAAAACATTTTATACATTTCATTCAAATAACGATTTGAGCCTACGAAATTCGTGCCACAATCAGATATAATTTTATGACAAATGTTGCGTCTTGAAACGAACCGATCAAGGGCAGCAAGATAGGCCTCTGTACTTAGTTCAGTGACTACTTCCAAATGGACAGCCTTTACGCTTAGACAGATAAACAAACATATCCAAGCTTTATATGTACGGGCATTTCGACGTCTACTTTCTTTTAGCATAAATGGCCCACCGAAATCTATTCCAGTAGTTTGAAAACATCTACCTGACTGAAGTCTTTCAACGGGTAAGTCCCCCATGGAGGGTTGACAAGGAAAAGGTTTAGATTTGAAACAAATTACGCACTTAGATAATCGAGAGCGTATCAATAGTCGCAGTCCAAGTATCCAAAAAGTTCTACAAACTAGTGACTGCAATGTGCGAGGACCACAGTGCAAGTACTTCAAATGATAGCTGTCCACGACTAGCTGCGATAATATAGATAATTTTGGTAATAAAATCGGGTGCTTTACGGTATGAGGTAAATTTGAATGTCGAATACGACCCCCACTCGTATTATACCAACTTCGTCGAGAAACGGACTTAGTTTTTGAATGGACTTTGTACAGTACAAACCTTCCTGAAGGAGTCTCAACTCTTGGGAAAAGTAATCAATTTGAACATGCTTTACTAAGAGAATCAATGCGTCATTTAGTTCAGACGTCGATAACGGAAATGAATTACGGCGATCCCGATGTAACTTAATATTTTTGATAAATCGCAAACACCAAGCTAGTATTCTTTGTAGCCTTGAAAGAGATGAAACTTTGGAAATTAGATTGGTTAATAAATTATCTGGTGGACCACTCACCAAACAGTCCACAGTGAGAGGTTTTAATTCAGGCAACTCTTGCTCATTTGCGACAATGTTTTGGATAGGCCAATTCATAGGAGTCTGGCGAAGCCAAGATGGGCCAGTCCACCAAAGATGGTGATCAGCTAGAACTGTGCATGTAGTACCGCGACTACAACAATCTGCCGGATTATCATGTGTAGAGACATGGAACCATAATTCAGAATTAATTAAATCTGTAATCAGTACTACCCGATTTGCTACAAAAGTTTTAAGTAGATGAGGTGCGGTATGTAACCAGGATAAGACAGTACTACTATCTGTAAATGCCTTAACGGATTTAAATTTTAATTTTGGGTTTAAAAGCTCATACATGTGTTTGAGTACACGGGCCAGCAACACAGCGGCGCACAACTCAAGCCGGTTAGTCGTTAAAGGCTTCAACGGGGCAATCTTAGATTTGCCTATGAGTAAACTAGTGGTTGTGCCTTGTGCAGTCACCGCACACAAATAAACACAACATCCGTACCCCTTAGAACTACCGTCACAGAATTCCACAAGATGTAATTCTGAAGAATCCGGAGGCAGTACCAAACGCGGTAGCTTAATTGATTGTAAATCTGATAAATTAGCAGCAAGAATGGCATATTCTTGCTTGGCAAGACTGTAAGGTATGGGTTCATCCCACATCAACTTCAGTCGCCACATCTCTTGTAGCAACAGCTTGGCGGAAAAAACAACTGGACATATCCAGCCCAGAGGATCAAAGATTCTTGCAATTATGGAGAGAATAGATCTTTTTGTGTACTCGACCTTAAATTCGTTAGAAAAAGAATACGAAAATTGGTCACACAAAGGATCCCACTTAATTCCTAAAATCTTTAATGTGTTCACTATTAGGTTCAGTGAACAATTTAGAAGACTGACAATATTCTGACGGAATGTCGGAAAGGATTTCTAAACAGTTGCTGCTCCATTTACGCAATTCGAATTTGCCTAGCTGCAATAAAGTAACTAATATTTCCTTTAATTGTTTAGCAGCTTCTATGGAGACGGCACCTGATGTTATGTCGTCCATGAAAGTCTCTTCGCGCAACACTTGAGCAGCGAGAGGAAATTGATTACTATAATCATCAGCTAGCTGATGCAAAGTTCTTATAGCCAAATACGGAGAACTACTTACTCCATATGTAACCGTATTCAGCTCATATTCTTTAATGGGACCATTAGGTTCATCGCGCCAAAATATATGCTGATACGACCTATCTTCCGGCCGAATCAGTATTTGCCGATACATTTTACATATATCCGCCGTAAAGACAATCGGGTGTAGGCGAAAGTTAGTAATCAAATCGATAATATCAATCTGAAGTTTCGGACCTACGTGCACAATGTCATTTAACGACTTATTATTTGTTGTCATACAGCTAGCATCAAATACTACCCGTAGACGAGTAGTTGTGCTATCAGGTTTAACAACACAATGATGAGGAATAATATAATTTCGATCTTCACAAGAAGATTCCCAGGCATCCATATGACCTAATTCTTCATACTGGCGCATGAATTCCACGTACTCTGATTTCAAACCGACGTCGTTAGACATACGTTTCTCTAAGTTTAGAAAACGGTTTAAAGCAAGCTGACTGGAATTACCTAATACAGGGAAATTATCTTTTAACATTATGGGTACAACATAACGACCGTCTGAATCGCGGTAAGTGTATTGTTTATACTGTTGTTCACATATGTCATTTTCCGGTACCTTTATACGAGTCGTGGGAGGTTCTTCAGTCTCCCAAAACCGTTGTACCACGTTATCTAATCGATTAGTTGAAGTTAAAAGAGAAGTCACATATTTAGAAGGTGTCAGTATTGTTGTATGACGTAATTGGCCGGTAATGACCCACCCGAAGACACTTGATAAGGCACATGGAAACTCGGGATTCGGAGCAAAGCGACCTCCATCATATATGCGATCGAAACATTCAACTCCAAGCAAAATATCGACTTTACATGGTTTGTCAAAGTCATCGTTAGCTAGATAAAGATGACTAAACTTTTCTCTAACATCTGATGGTAATGGCACAACCGGAATGTTTGATGTAATTTTTTGAATAACTATTAATGGCAATTGAAAACACGGTTCATCACAATGCTTAGGCATGACACCCTTTATACATTGTACAGAATTCTGACCCAATCCTGTCACCGACATATCACACTTACGCACCGGTAACTCAAGTCTCTGAACACAAGAACTGGTAATAAATGAATCCATGCTACCACTATCTATGAGCGCACATGCCTGGTGTAAATTACCATAGGAGTCACGAATGCGTATAATCGCGGAACCTAAGATTTTTGTCGATTGATTTCCCGGAGGAACTGTACTTGTTAGCGTAGCATTTATACAATCTCCCTGAAGCGACTCCTTGTTTTGATTATTATCATTCATAGACATACTCGGGGAAGAGGCATCTACTTGTAAGTATGTACTCGTGGTGGGCGCGCACATCGGAGCGTCAGTGTGCAAAAATGTATTATGTCGGGAACCACAAATAAAACAATTTATTTTCGACAAACAATTGCTCGGATTGTGACCCGTTCGTAAACAATTTGAGCATAATTTTATATCGTTAATTAATTGCCACCTAGCATCGACGCTCATTTTTTGAAATTTAAAACACTTATAAATACTATGAGAAGAATCACAACATGGACAATGAAGTTTATTGTTCTGTTGGTTTTGTTTATCATTAGTATTAGTGGATGAAACAAAAGAAGACTTCGACTGTTTATTACGTGGACTGTATACTTCGGATTTATTTCGATTTGATTTTATATTATAATCATGTGAGGAAGAAGAAGAATTACTAACTTCCAAAATTTTAATATAATTTTGTAGGAAAGTTAATAGACTTTCAAATGTGGGTATTTCTTGTTTGTTTTGTAACTCAAACCGCTGACGAGTGTCGCCATCTAGTACGCGGGCCGCTAAATAAAATAATATAACTTCATCGAGCAACTCGATATTTAACGCTCGGAGTGCGTTTACACTTTCATATAACGTATTTGTCAATACATTTAAACCTGCGATTGACACTTTATGCAAAGGAGATAAATTAAAAATTTTATCGAGATAGGCAGTAGCTAAAACACGATTGTTGTCATATCTGTCTAATAAAGCTTGAAATACTACCGAATAATTAGAAGCGGTCAGAGGAACACCCTTTGCAATGGTTAAGGCAAACCCAGATAGACACGAAATCAAATAATGGAATTTTTCTATATCTGATAATGAGTTGTTATTATGTATTAAAGGTAAATAACTATCCTTAAATGTTTGAAAATTAATTATATTACTATCAAATATAGGTACATGTAACTTCGGTAAGCGAACTTGATACGGCTTATTTTCTATAGAAGACGAAGGTATAGTCATCATTTGGGTCTGACATTTTAGTAGATAAAACTACATACCTCTGCAATTTCAATAACACTATAATACAACTCGTCAAAAGACTCTAAAAGTTTTGTATCGGGTTCGCTACTCCACCCTGCTTCCAAATGCTTTAAATTAATTGTCTGATTAATTTCATAAAAACTTTCCTTCAGGGATTCTATATTTTTATATCTGGCACGAAAACTAGATAATTTAGACTTATCTTTTTGTATTTCCCTCGATATATCATACAATATTTGTATTGATCGAAATTCATGTTCACGACGTGAAATCAATGTTTTAATTTCTACTTCAAGTCGTTTTTGTACGAGATCAGCTGCTTTGGCCATGTCAATGACCTAAAGATAAAGTCAGTTGACAATAGAAATTTATAGGTACTAAGTAATAATAACCTACAACTAATAAAATGAATACTGTACTGATATTAATACGATTATTATGTATTTGTTTCCTATTTCAAGCACAAATCAATAACTTTGCTACAAGCAGGCGAATAGAATACCGATTTATTGCAATGAATTATAGGTACATACGTAATACAGGTAAGTAAATATCGACTGGAATCATTGAAAAGATAAACAAGTTTTGTTTTGTTGATTGTTTATAACTAAATTCGAATAAAGTGTTATGAATTACAGTTATAATATTCTGAATGTAAAATATATAAAACGTACAATTACGGATTCAAAATCCGGTTCGATTGGACCAACTTAGATGGTAGATTATAACTTTGAATTAAAGAAGAAATCTGTGGTATTTTATTCACCTGCCTGAGAAAGGTTTGAATATCCCCAGAAACCAGCAGAAGACTGTGTAATGACAGAAATAGGAAGGAGAAAGCGGGACTCACCGACCGGGCTAATTTGATTGTAAATTGAAGACCTTGGGTGCACCCTTCGTCCTTGACTCCGATTCCACACACCACCAGCAGTTTATTTCACACTTGTAATGCACTGGACACGTAAATTCACACAGATTTTCTTGTTAAATCTCAATTAGAATATGAGTAATGTCAACTCAGGTATTAACGGCAGCCATAATGAATTGCACATTTTTTTTTTCCGGGGTTCACACGCTCACGCAGTTAGCACCGGTTGGCGGGAATATTTGAATTTGGAATTAATTGAACGAACGAAATATCTTCTTATTGATCGTTGATTAATACAATGATATGGGGATTGGAAAAGGATGTCAGAACAACCAACATAATATATATATATGACAGTATCACAATTTGGGAATATAGCCACAACCAAGACATACCTGGACTATATATATTTTTTTTTTTTTTTTTTTTTTTTTCTTCGACTGGCAACACCAGCAAAATCGGTCCAGCCACTTCAGAGATTAGCTGGAACAAACAGACAGACAGACAGACAAAAATTGTATAAAAATAAATTTTAGTATATGTACCGTATTTATATTCATATGCTCGTAGTCAAAAACTATTATTTCAATATTATAAACAGGCTTCAAAATCCTTAAGTACCACAAAAAAGATGTTTTTTCTATCGAATAAACTGTTTTTATTAAAAACAAGCTGTTCCCGCGACTTCGTCCGCGTGGAATTTAACTTTATTTTTCTAAAATAAAAGTAGCCTAAGTTACTCCTTATTACATCAGCTACCTGCCAAAAAAAGTACCGTCAAAATCGGTCCAGCCATTTCAGATATTAGCCGGAACAAACAGACCGACAAACAGACAGACAAAAATTATAAAAATTGTTAATTTGGTATATGTACCTTATATATATTCATATGCATGTAGTAAAAAACGGTTATTTCAATATTACAAACAGACACTCCAATTTTATTTATATGTATAGATGTATAGATTATTATTTATTTATTCATCCAAAATAACACAAATTGTGTAGGATAACGTAATAGTAACATTACAGTAAAATTTTGTCAACAACATAATAGTAACTTAAACATTAAATCTCGGTACATCTATAGACTAGCTGGCCCCAGCGACTTCGTCCGCGTGAAATTTTATTTTATTTATCTAAAATAACAGTAGCGTAAGTTACTCCTTATTACATCGGCTACTTGCCAAAAAAAGTCCCGTCAAAATCGGTCCAGCTATTTCAGAGATTAGCCGGAACAAACAAACAGACAGACAGACAAAACTTGTAAAATATGTTATTTTGGTGTATGTACCGTATTTATATTCATATGCAAGTAGTAAAAAATGGTTATTTCAATATTACAAACAGACACTCCAATTTTATTTACATGTATAGATGTATAGATTAAAAAAAAAGTAACAGTCATAAGGATAGTCGTATGCCTAATATATATAATAATGTAATAAATTCATTTAAACAGAAATTGCGGCAACATTATTTAAATTTGTAACTTTTTTACTGTCCTTCTCCTTTTTTCACATCTTTCTGTTATATCCCTATAGTTCTCTCTATATTTTCTGTTTTTCTTACTTTCAATTTGAGACTGTACTTATAATTTGATTTTCGGATCATTATGTATTTATTTATACATTTATGGGTTATATTTACATATATATTTATGTATGTATATTGTTATTTTTTTATAGAAATGTATATTTTGCTTATCTTTATTATCTTTAGAAATCTTTTTTTGACATTTTTTATTTATATTAGTGCACCGCCAATAATCTTTCGCTGCACCACTCATGGTTGCCTGGTAAATAACGCGGCAAAATATTAAGTCCGCCACATGTACAAATTTTTTTGTGCATTAAAGTTAAAGAAATAAAAATTATACAATACTGTTTAATGAAAATGCGTATTGTCTAGTGCTTTGAGATGTATCAAAATAAGGTCAACAAAAAAGTCCGTGATGGTATATGTCTATCTCTTAAGGATAACCAAAAATAACCATTTGTTATCTTTTACATTTTACGGGAATTTTTTTTATCGTATGTTTCCCTTAAAATCATGTAAACTATGTTATTATGTCATAATGTAAAGAAATAATAATATTTTATACTGATATATCCACTATAAAATACCAAAAAGTAGCAATGTAATTCGTTACGCGCGAATCAGCTGTTATAAGGTCAAAGGTCAGTGCACCCCGCGTATTTGATAAATAGTGCTTCTCTGGATGTCTTGAAGAGAAAATGGCAGTATGTACGTGTATATGTACAAGTCCTTAAGTGTTAAGTTTTTCAAATGTACATACAGTAAAGAATAAATATTTTTAAGTACAGTACTTACGTACATTAATATAATACCTACTTTTTACTTGTATCTATTGTTATCAAAATTAAATTATAAGTTCTTAACTTGACCACGACTATCTCTTGGCGCCAAAACGAATGAAAAAATGAACAGCATACGACGACGACGCAGTACCTATAGAGTGGAGCAACTGCTTATTCAGTTTTATTCAACTATTTAGTCCCTCCACCGTTACAATGAATGGAGGCGGATATTACAATGTATGTAGCATTGCGAATATAAAATATCTAGATTAGGTATAATAAATTCATAATTGATAGGCCGTTACGGTATCAGAGCCAAAAAGTCTTCTTTCTTTGTACTGTTAGATGCGACAGCGACTTTGTTTTATACTACACTATGTAATGATTGATATACCTAAAATAAATAAAATATCTGAGGTTTGGACAAAAATTCAAAAGGTACTTTATTCACTGTCGATAGCGAGCGGTGCGATGGAAAAAGATAACCGTTTATAAAAATATAATAAATAGCGCTGGACAATTAACACAGACTGATACTGAACTGATATAAATAAATATTTTTATTTTGTAAATACATATATAATATACATATAAAACACCCAGACCGATGAAAACAATCGATGACCGATGAGTACAATTGTTTGCACCGTGCGAGAAATCGAACCCGCGACCATCGGATGTAAAGCGGTGTGACCACCGAGGCAGTCGAAATATATAAATAATCTTATGAATTTAATTTATTCTAATTTGTTTGTGTGCGCGGGGTGCGGTGTACGGTGCTCCCCCTGCCTCCACCGTTGCTGGAGCTTGCATGTATGGAGCATTGCGAATATAAAATATCTAGATTAGTAAATTAATAAATTCATAATTGATAGACCGTTACGGTATCTATATATATTCGGATTAAAATAAGTATCGCAGTAAGGACCAGTATATAAAGTGATCAACACAATTAATTGATTTTTGGAATATATATACAGAGCCAAAAAGTCTTTGTGTATTCAAAAAATATCTAATTTGTTTGTGTGCGCGGGGTGTGGTGTACGGTGCTCCCCCTGCAACGGTGGAGTAACTATGTATGGAGCATTGCGAATATAAAATATCTAGATTAGTAAATGAATAAATTCATAATTGATAGACCGTTACGGTATCTATATATATTCGGATGAAAATAAGTATCGCAGTAAGGACGAGTATATAAAGTGATCAACATAATTAATTGATTTTTGAAATATATTCAGAGCCAAAAAGTCTTTGTGTATACCAAAAATTTAGCCGTTCGGAGCCAGTCATGCACGAATTATTAGTAAAAAATGTGTCGAGTATATCGTACTATCGACGAATATATATGGCCACATCGCAAAATAGAATGCGACGTTGCCATACCGCCTGAGATATACGCGATAGGAGTCAAGTTATTCAGTGCAAAAGGTGGAATCGGCAAGTGTGTAGGTTGTGGCGTGATCAACAAAGTGCCCAAAGAGGTGTTTATATATATATATATATATATATATATATATATATATATATATATATATATATATAAATATCCCCTTGGGCACTTTGTGGCTCAGACGTGCCGTATAGGTAGTTTTTTGTTGATCCATTTTCACTTGTTGATCCGGAGGCCTTTTGTTGATCTAATGCCAGCTGACCATATATAAATGTTGATCCGTTTTGAGCCACAACTGTCACGACGAGTAATAATAATAATTAAGCGATTTATACACGATTTTATACAAATCCACCTTTTTGGCATACGACCACTTCCTGATCCAATTCAAACGGGCCAATCAGGGTGCAGCATTTGCCAAGGGCTTCCTCATTGGCACGTTTGGGCTACTACATTATGGCTACAGTAACTTAATAATGTCTAGCTAGTATTTCAAGAATAATAGTCTATCTAATCTAAATATTTATTGAAATCAGTCTGGAGTAACGTGACTCCAGATCAAAACTCAATACTTGTTATTTTTTGGACGGGAATTTTTCCTTTTGTAACAACGTACTGAGCGAATGAAGAGAAGACGCAACAGCGGATCTAGGGGGAGCGTCATGGAGGTCTTGGGAGTCATGGGGGTCATGACTCTCCCCCGCTTAGCCCAGGACTTAGGTAGACCACTAATTGAACTAAAAAATA